TCTCCACAGCTAGCATGCTTCCTTGACTTGAGTTCATCACGATCAATAATCTGAGCCAATCCAATGCTTTCCCATTTCCTAGCATTGGGAAACTAGTGTGTTTGTGTGGCAAAACACCATGCTACACCGGACAGATGGACACTGCGAGTTTCACTTGCTATTTCTGTGGAAGCACCTCTAAAGGCTGCAAAACAGAAGCGTTTTACATTGCAGGGTTAGAACGAACATGGCACATGGCATCCAGACCACTTCATTGAGATTAAGTAGTCTAGGTGCCTATAGTCTTCCTTTAATGGGCAGACAGGTAGCAGCAGAACAGCTAATCACATTTTATGTATTATACGAGGCTTCATCCTTCTCAGGTGGGATTTATCCCAGAGAGACAACTATATGAGAAATATATCCCTAGTGTGGTGCTTGGTGAAGACTGGAAGGCCTTCTCTAGTTCTCTTTCTGGATGCGAGGACTGAATGGCCATACCTTTTTGAGCTTGTAGTCCATTTTGATTTCCTTCCTGCTCATGAAGTGACTGTTCGAGCTCTGTATACCAATTTAAGAACCCACACATTAATCACAGGTTCTAAGCCCACACCAGTCACAATAGGGAACTGAACCAGACAGGCCCTACATCATCCCTGTTATTTGCCTTAACACTGGAGCCGCTGCTACACATAATACAATTCTAATAGAATGTCAACATAGAGGTCAACATAGCAGGTACAACCTTGACAGTGTCGGCATATGCAGATGATTTTTGCAAACTTTGATTCGCACAGTCCCCTCCATGCATTACTTGAACTTCGTCTTAGACAAACATAGAAACATAGCATCCAAAAACTTGGAATCTCTTCTTACGGGTGCTGACCTCTCTTTGTTTTACATTGTTTTCATGCTAAACCCCCTAAAGACACATACTGCACCACCTACAAACACACACACCATTTTTTTACACACAGTACATCCCTTACACACACAGAACATCCCATATACACAGTATGCATCCCCTATACACACGCTAGATCCCCTACAGACAAACACTAGATCCCCTACACACACATACATACATAACATCCTCTATACACACACATACACTACAGTCCCTATGCACAGAACTGAAATAAACCTACTTACACGAACAGCACATAACAAACAGCTCACTCTATACACATGCAATACCATAATTAGCCACCAATCGCATGTACATTTCACAGTACTCTCTCATGGGCATTTTGTCCTCTGGTATCCCACTTATGGAGACACCAGAGAAAGTCAAAAGCAAACAGTGCAATGCATTAAACAGGCAAAAGTAACATGCTCACTTTGGGGGGATGTGCTTATCATTGGAGAAGGCACAAAACACCCCCTCCCCTGTCTGGCTCCGCACCCTGCCAGTAGAAAATGCTCACTGAAATAAAATAAAGGGGGTTCAGGCACTCCTTGGTTCAATACAGGCTCTTTATTGGAACCAAAGCAATGTTTCGACCGTGAGGTCTTTGTCAAGTTTGACAAAGACCTCACGGTCGAAACATTGCTTTGGTTCCAATAAAGTGCCTGTATTGAACCAAGGAATGCCTGGACCCCCTTTATTTTATTGCATTGATCCTGGGAATCTGGTGTTTGGTTCCGGTCACAGAAAGCACCCTTGCTCTGACTGATGGGAGTGAGTGCAGTTCCATACTTTTTGAAAAGTAGAAAATGCTCAGGCCGAATTTTTCCCAAGATGCCCAGAGGCATAGAATATGCAGGCCTGCAGAGACTAGATCATTTGTATACAGACAACAGTATAATCACTTTTCCAGAATTACAGATTTGGCCTGGACTTAATCCAGGGGATTATTTGAGATACCTACATGACTTTGTTTCTCGAGGAGGTATTAAAAAGGCAGCTACAACTCTTCCCCACTGTCTTTGAAAAAGTATGCTTAACTGAAACACACATAAAAAGGACTGATCTACTTGCACATCACTCAACTATGTAAAAATTCTGATGAATGGAGAAAACTCAAATATAAAGATTTATGGGAAAAGGAGTTGGGGGAGTCATTGGAGTGTGGAGAGCAAGCAGAGTTATGGGAAGCTCATGTCAAATCATCCATTTGTGTAACCCTACAAGAACAATGTTTCAGGACACTATTCTAATGGCATACTTTGCCAGTAAAATGATTCTACATCGGAAAAGTGAATTTGGATTTCTGTTGGAGGCTCTGTGGGCACAGGGGTCGTACCACCATATGTGGTGGTGGACATGTCCTGAGGTTGCACCTTTTTGGGAAAATATATGCAATCTGGTCTCTTGTATATTCCATAGACCCATCCCCTTGGTGGATCCTTGGGTATTTCTGTTTTATAGATTATTTCACTTCCCAGGAGAGAAAGCTATTGGGAAGGATTATGTTAGCAGCTCGGAGAGCTCTTGCCCAACAATGCTTGAGGGTTAAGTCACCTGCAGTGGACTGTGTGATACATAGAATGAAAGGCAATTATCTAACGGGCAAATTAACAGCTCAAGTCAGAAACTCAATACCTTCCTTCCAGAAAGTGTGGGCACTATGGGAAGAGTTTTCGGAGGCTAGTGTCTGGCAAACAGAGTTGTGTATGAGGTTCTATTCTTCTCAGTGGAAGCAAATCCCTCTCCCCCTATCCTCCCACATTCCCTTTTATATTTTTCTGTGTCACCGCTTTCCTCTTATTTCTCACTGTTATGAAGGGTCTGTACCTTCCTTCAAAAATGTTAAAACTGTAAGCCAACTACGCACATTGTCTTATGTGGTTGTAAAACGTATGCCTTGATACTTGATTCTAGATACGCAGAGGAGGTTGCAACTTGTACTTAATAAAGAACTTTAAAAAAAAAAAAATACCAAACCACAAAGGCAACGTTCAGCACCCTAAACCAAGGTACAGGACACAAGAAGCAGCATTGGACAGTCAGATTAAAGCAGACATCAAACAACAGAAAACCAGGAAATTCAGGTAACAGTGATTACACGCTCAATAAAGAATCAGTCTGTAAATACTTATAGCACTATGGGGACTGCCTACAGAGACTAAGCATTTACACCGGCTGGATAGACATATCCCATTTGGAATTCTAAAGTGCTTCATTTCAGAAAGGTCATCATACCTATGCCCCCTAGTGGCTGGCAGCATAACATTCCGTAAAACTATTAAAAAGCTACAAATCCTAAGTGACCCATAAGGCTACAGATATGGCTAGAACAGCTTAGTCTCTTTATGTATGCAAAAAATATACATTTTCATTGTACATGAGAGCAGACTCATTACTCTAAAGATCTATGATCCTGGATAATGGGGCAATATATATATATATATAATTTTCTTTTATTTTACATGTAATGGTTGGTGATGACCCCATTAATAATTACGGTTATTGACGTAATTGGGGCTCGTGTTGTGTATATTTCTTTTTATGGTATGGGACCAGGGGAAAATATACCGTATTTACTCAAATCTAATGCGGTGAATGTAATGATTTAGACAAGAAGATACTACTATACAACATTGTTCTACAATGAAAATGTTTATTGTCATATACCATAGTAACATTGATGGTATTTCAATTTTAGTGGTTCATGTTAAGTCAATATTTTTTCTTAAGTTGTTTTTCAAGAACGAAATTTGCTCGTGTGAATTTGCCTGTCTAAATTCGCCCAAAAAATTTGAACTTTGTCCCAAATGTAATTCACCATCGAATGTATTGCGCAGGAAAATTTTGTAAACCTTATTTTCAAAAAAAGGTGCGCATTACGTTCGAGTAAATACGGTATATTATTTGCTGCAGGAGTGAAGGCGATCGGAAACCCACCATGTTAATAGACTATTTATAACACAGAGGGGTACAGGGTGAGAGAATTAGATTGTCTGGTCCCAAACTGCTATGCACGCAGGCAGTATTATTCAACAAAGTCAGGTGACCGCAGAAATCAAATAATAAAAAATCAGTAAAGCAGGTCACGTAATCAGCATCACGTAAAATGCAAGAAAGTAACATCAAAATAGAAAATGTATTCTTTTGAATAAATGCTTTTTCTTTCTTACTTCTAAACATATCAATCAATGCTTTTTTAAAAAGCTTTCCTAATGTGTACAGGGTAGAATAAATAATGTTCTCTAGAAATCCATGAATTTGGTTTTTATATTTACATACTGTATATTTTTTTAAACTTATTCTCTTCCTTGATCTACATCTGTATGTCCACTGTACTAAAAAAATTCAATGCAACAAAAGTATTCTTAATGACAATGATTTGTGATAGGTGCTTTGGTATACGCTGTATACCTTTCTGCTGTTATACTTCATGGCCAAATGTATGAATGTACAAATGATTGGACTGGATCTCGTTTTGCTGCTGTAACAATTTCTACTTTTTTAGGGAAGTATGCCATTAGAAATTTTAGATGGTTCATGGGGACTGCACCTGGCCACCCACAAGAGTATAAGTGACATTGGGCAATTAGACCTGGCTTGGAGTCATTGCTGGTTTACGAGGTTTAGGGGCCCTGGAGTATAGATCAACAAAGGTGGTATTTTAGAAGTTTGTATTTAGACAGAAGTAATGAAAAATACATCTGCTGAGAATCAGCCAAGTAGAATGCAAAGTGTATTACCATCTTCCTTGATTGGGTCAATCTGGGTAAACTCACCACCAGTTTGCTTTGGTTAAGAATGAGTTCCTGAGCCAAATCCTCTCTCACTGAATCATTGGGGGACTCTTATGGACCAATTCAAACTGCTTGCTAAATACAGAATACAAAAAAAAAAAAAAAAATACACCTGCATTCACACCCTAGTTTACGTTAATGACTTGAGAGTTTTGTTGCCAATATCTTGTTGCCACTCATCTATATCATCACTGTAAAGTGAGCTTGCAGAAAATTGTAATGCTCAGGGCTAAAAAGATAAGATTAAAGGTCTTATCTCCAAAAATAATAGATTAAAGATAATAAAAACTAGTGAGACAGATC